CCCCCCCCCGCTTTGGGTATTAAGACAAATCATGGGATTTTCCTTTTTTTTTTTTTTTTTTTTCTTGATAGAAAAAATGTCATCCATACCCTTTAAAAACTCCCCCCTGCGGCTTAGGAGGCTGTCGTTTTGCCTCCTCCGTTTTCCTGTTAGATGTCATGAGGCTGGGCTCCCAGGGCCTCCTGCTTTCCCCGGCTCGCCCTGCAGGCTGCGGGCTGAGAAGCAGGAGTCACTTCACGGACACTCGCAGGCCCTGTGTCTGTCAGCTCCCGTCCCATCCGATGCCCGAGCCAAGCGCGGGGGCTGAAGAGCTCGGCCTCGGCCAGGCCCTGAGGCAGGCGGGTGTCACCACGGCCCCGACACCTCTGTCAGTTTACTTTTATAACATTATCCTCTGCTCTTCCCAGATGTGCCTAAGACGAATTAAAATGAGTTCCTACTTTTGGAGATGCCCCACTGGCCACTGGAAGCCGCCCAGGATGTCAAAGCCGGTGCTGACGGCGATGCTCCGCTGGCGCCTTTGGGGGGCGCAGGAGAGCAGCAGCTGTCCGTCCCCGCAGGTGACTGTGGCGCTGTGAGGCTGAGCGTGTCATTCTGAGCCACTCGGGTTGGCCTCCACCGCCACCTCCTCTTCTCCCAACCCCACGCCCAAAAGTGCCTCATTTTCTCTCTTTCCCCAGAAGAAATAAACAATTTCCTTCCCTTTCTCCAGAGGGATTCCTTCGGATTCGCCTCTTTTCTTCCTCATTCCCTCGGGGAGTTACTGATCTGAATGAAGTCACTTTCCTCAGCAGTCCAGCCCAAACTGGCCCCTTCTAGTAAAAATGTCAGCCATTTGCCCTGTCCCCTGGGCTCCTGAGATATTCTAATATCTCCTCTGTTGCATACAGACATTCCCAAAGCAAACACTCAGTGGCTGAGAGAGGCTGGGCCCTTGGCCTGACCTTTGGCCTCTAAGTCACCCTGAGTGAGGCCTTTCGTCCGGTTCCTCTTGTGACCTCGCAGCTCTAACACTCCCATGGAACAGCCACTTTTCCTCGCCCAGGTACGTTCCTTCTGTCCATTTCTGACCTAACACCTTGCAAGTGCCTGACTCCCATGTACTAAACCNACCATCTCCTGAACTTCTCTCTAAGGTTCCTTCTGGTTTTAGGATTCAAACACTCTATTATGCCCAGTTTGTTTCTTACTATCCAGGGGATAAAATTAGTCTATGCAATAAATCCTCCCCTCTTTTTTTTTTCTTTTTTTTTTTTTTTTACAAATAAAAATTGCATATATTTGTGGTGCACAGTTTGATGTTTTGATATATGTATTGGGACATGATGAAATCAAGCTTTTTAATATATCCATCACCTTACATACTTGTCAGTTTTTGGTGGTAAGAACATTTAAAATCTGCTCTGTTGGCAATTTTCAAGCATACAATAGATTATTACTAACTATTGTCACCATGCTGTACAGCAGACTATTTTATTTGATTATTTAAACAAGAAACATGGGGTCTAGGACATTAAGTTTTAATATTAATTGAACAAATAAATGAATGAAACCCCTAGAAACTATCTCTAGACTTCTTTCTAATTCTCTGGAGAATCCTTCAAAACCTGTTGGGTTGACTCCCAGTCCTGCCACTTTCTTCAAAAGTTGTTCGGTGGAAGTTACTTTGTTATTGCTATCATTATTATTATCACTATTGCTAACATCACTTATCTAATGCTATTAAGATGATTAGATGCGGAGCAGCCACCTGGACAGCACTGAGGCTCTGCTCCCAGCTGCCTCTACGACGAGTGTAGGCACCAGCATAGGCTCCACAAGCAGTGAGGTCCCTCCAGAGAACTGCGTCCAGGGCAGAAGCAAACAGCTGTCCTGTTGGCCCAAAGTCCCTTCAACCATTTGGTCTCACTGACCTACCCCTGAAGTCACACCAGTTAAAATGTGTAGGGAAAGGGTAATACCAGGATCCATCATCTTTCAACATCTCCTTAAGAACAATATCATCCATTCATTCAGCAAAACTTAATATTAAGTCCCAATATCCTATTCGCGACGTTACCTGGGATTCCAACACTGGCTGTGGCACGGAGGATCCTCAGCAGTGAGGGGGCGAAGGCCCTTCCCTGTCCCCCACCCACCGTGCTCAGGACCATGACTGGACTTACCCTTGACTACGACCTGCAGCCCAATGGGTTGGGGTGACTTTTGATGGGAAAGAAGATGGAAATGGAGAATTAAAAAAAAAAAAATTTAAGTTCCAGACACAGAGTTATGAACCCCAAGCAAATGTCTGTTGAATCACTGGACAAACTAACGGCTAATAGATTGAAATGATCCATGCTGTCTTAGCTTTCTCTCTCAATGCATTTCCTCCCCAGCCCCACCACCGCTTTGGGTATTAAGACAAATCCTGGGATTTTCCTTTTTTTTTTTTTTTTTTTTTTTTTA